AAAAGAGCTCTGGGAGTTAGGGGAGCCTTCCTCAGCCTCATCCTCGGCCTGAAAAAGAGCTCTGGGTCATGGAGCCTTCCTCAGCCTCAGCCTCAGCCTCAGCCCTCCTCATCCTCGGCCTGCAAAACAGCTCTGGGAGTTAGGGGAGCCTTCCTCAGCATCATCCTCGGCCTGCAAAACAGCTCTGGGTCATGGAGCCTTCCTCAGCCTCCATCCCTCCTCATCCTCATCCTCAGCCTGCCCAGGGGTGAAAAACAGCTCAGGGAGTTATGGGAACCTTCCAATAAAAACAGTGACCACAACTGACCCCTCAGTGACCCCTGAGGGACACCACTGGTCACTGACCACCAGCTGGACCACTGACCACCCTCTGGACCCGGCCACCCTTCCCAATCCCGTCCCTTGTCCCAGGATCCCAGCCCAGCTCACCACGAGCCCCCGCATCCACGTCCATCAATGAAAACACTGACCAGAACTGACCCCTGAGGGACACCACTGGCCACCAGCTGGACCACTGACCACCTCCTGGTCCTGGCCACCCTTCCCAATCCCATCCCTTGTCCCAGGATCCCAGCCCAGCTCACCATGAGCCGCCGCATCCGCTCCCTCTACAAATCTCCTCGTGAAAGACTCAACACCCTCATCCAATAAAAACATTGACCAGAACTGACCCCTGAGGGACACCACTGGTCAGTGGACACCAGCTGGACCACTGACCACCTCCTGGACCTGGCCACCATTCCCAATCCCACCCACTGTCCCAGGATCCCAGCCCAGCTCACCATGAGCCAGTGACATCATCAGTAAAAGCAATGACAACTGACCCCTCAGTGACCCCTGAGGGACACCACTGGTCAGTGGCCACCAGCTGGACCACTGACCACCCTCTGGACCTGGCCACCCTTCCCAATCCCACCCCTTGTCCCAGGATCCCAGCCCAGCTCACCAGGAGCCAGTGACATCATCAGTAAAAGCAATGACAACTGACCCCTCAGTGACCCCTGAGGGACACCACTGGTCAGTGGCCACCAGCTGGACCACTGACCACCCTCTGGACCTGGCCACCCTTCCCAATCCCACCCCTTGTCCCAGGATCCCAGCCCAGCTCACCAGGAGCCAGTGACATCATCAGTAAAAGCAATGACAACTGACCCCTCAGTGACCCCTGAGGGACACCACTGGTCAGTGGCCACCAGCTGGACCACTGACCACCCTCTGGACCTGGCCACCCTTCCCAATCCCACCCCTTGTCCCAGGATCCCAGCCCAGCTCACCAGGAGCCAGTGACATCATCAGTAAAAGCAATGACAACTGACCCCTCAGTGACCCCTGAGGGACACCACTGGTCAGTGGCCACCAGCTGGACCACTGACCACCCTCTGGACCTGGCCACCCTTCCCAATCCCACCCCTTGTCCCAGGATCCCAGCCCAGCTCACCAGGAGCCAGTGACATCATCAGTAAAAGCAATGACAACTGACCCCTCAGTGACCCCTGAGGGACACCACTGGTCAGTGGCCACCAGCTGGACCACTGACCACCCTCTGGACCTGGCCACCCTTCCCAATCCCACCCCTTGTCCCAGGATCCCAGCCCAGCTCACCAGGAGCCAGTGACATCATCAGTAAAAGCAATGACAACTGACCCCTCAGTGACCCCTGAGGGACACCACTGGTCAGTGGCCACCAGCTGGACCACTGACCACCCTCTGGACCTGGCCACCCTTCCCAATCCCACCCCTTGTCCCAGGATCCCAGCCCAGCTCACCAGGAGCCAGTGACATCATCAGTAAAAGCAATGACAACTGACCCCTCAGTGACCCCTGAGGGACACCACTGGTCAGTGGCCACCAGCTGGACCACTGACCACCCTCTGGACCTGGCCACCCTTCCCAATCCCACCCCTTGTCCCAGGATCCCAGCCCAGCTCACCAGGAGCCAGTGACATCATCAGTAAAAGCAATGACAACTGACCCCTCAGTGACCCCTGAGGGACACCACTGGTCAGTGGCCACCAGCTGGACCACTGACCACCCTCTGGACCTGGCCACCCTTCCCAATCCCACCCCTTGTCCCAGGATCCCAGCCCAGCTCACCAGGAGCCAGTGACATCATCAGTAAAAGCAATGACAACTGACCCCTCAGTGACCCCTGAGGGACACCACTGGTCAGTGGCCACCAGCTGGACCACTGACCACCCTCTGGACCTGGCCACCCTTCCCAATCCCACCCCTTGTCCCAGGATCCCAGCCCAGCTCACCAGGAGCCAGTGACATCATCAGTAAAAGCAATGACAACTGACCCCTCAGTGACCCCTGAGGGACACCACTGGTCAGTGGCCACCAGCTGGACCACTGACCACCCTCTGGACCTGGCCACCCTTCCCAATCCCACCCCTTGTCCCAGGATCCCAGCCCAGCTCACCAGGAGCCAGTGACATCATCAGTAAAAGCAATGACAACTGACCCCTCAGTGACCCCTGAGGGACACCACTGGTCAGTGGCCACCAGCTGGACCACTGACCACCCTCTGGACCTGGCCACCCTTCCCAATCCCACCCCTTGTCCCAGGATCCCAGCCCAGCTCACCACGAGCCGATGACATCATCAGTAAAAACAATGACCACAACTGACCCCTCAGTGACCCCTGAGGGACACCACTGGACAGTGGCCACCAGCTGACCACTGACCACCCTCTGGACCTGGCCACCCTTCCCAATCCCACCCCTTGTCCCAGGATCCCAGCCCAGCTCACCATGAGCTGCCACATCCACGTCAATCAATGAAAACATTGACCAGAACTGACCCCACATAGACCAGACCCCTGAGGGACACCACTGACCACCAGCTGGACCACTGACCACCCTCTGAACCTGGCCACCATTCCCAATCCCGTCCCTTGTCCCAGGATCCCAGCCCAGCTCACCACGAGCTGCCGCATCCACGTCCATCAATGAAAACAGAGACCAGAACTGACCCCTCAGTGACCCGTGAGGGACACCACTGACCACCAGCTGGACCACTGACCACCTTCTGGACCCGGCCACCCTTCCCAATCCCACCCCTTGTCCCAGGATCCCAGCCCAGCTCACCATGAGCCGCCGCATCCGCTCCTTCTCGATGCGCTCGTTCTCCTTCTTCTGCTCGCGCTCGGTGTTGGCGTGGTAGGTGGCCACGGCCTTGGTCAGCTTCTGGATCTTTCCGCTCACGCTCCGGTGGTATTCCTTGAAGTCCTTGGCGTGCTGCAGGATGCTGTTGAGGTATTCCTGCGGGAAGGGGGACACGGAGGTCACACGGTGGGGGTGGCACGAGGAGGTGGAATGGGGGAGTTGGAGGGGTTGGATGGAGGGGGCTGGAAGAGAGAGATGGGAATTGGAGGATCCTAGTGGTCAGTAGAGGGTCCCAATGGTCAGTAGAGGGTCCCAATGGTCACTAGAAGGTTCCAATGGTCAGCAGAGGATCACAATGGTCAGCAGAGGATCCCAATGGTCAGCAGAGGATCCCAATGGTCAGTAGAGGGTCCCAATGGTCAGTAGAGGATCCCAATGGTCAATAGAGGGTCCTAATGGTCAGTAGAGGGTCCCAGTGGTCAGCAGAGGGTCCCAGTGGTCAGCAGAGGGTCCCAATAGTCAGTAGAGAGTCCCAATGGTCAGTAGAAGGTCCTAATGGCCAGCAGAGGGTCCCAATGGTCAGCAGAGAATCCTAATGGTCAGCAGAAGGTCCCAATAGTCAGTAAAAGGTCCCAATGGTCAGTAGAGGGTCCCAATGGCCAATAGAGGGTCCCAATGGTCATTAGAGTCCTAATGGTCACTAGAAGGTCACTAGAGGGTCCCAGGAGACATCGTATGGTCCCAGTGGTCAGCAGAGGGGCCCAATAGTCAGTAGAGGGTCCCAATGGCCAATAGAGGGTCCCAATGGTCAGTAGAGCGTCCCAGTGGTCAGCAGAGGGTCCCTATGGTCAGCAGAGTATCCCAGCGGTCAGCAGAGTGTCCCAGTGGTCAGCAGAGTGTCCCAGCGGTCATCAGAGTGTCCCAGTGGTCAGTAGAGTGTCCCAATGGTCAGCAGAGTGTCCCAGTGGTCAGCAGAATGTCCCAGCGGTCAGCAGAGTGTCCCAGCGGTCAGCAGAGTGTCCCAGTGGTCATCAGAGTGTCCCAGCGGTCATCAGAGTGTCCCAGTGGTCAGTAGAGTGTCCCAATGGTCAGCAGAGTGTCCCAGTGGTCAGCAGAATGTCCCAGCGGTCAGCAGAGTGTCCCAGCGGTCAGCAGAGTGTCCCAGTGGTCAGTAGAGTGTCCCAATGGTCAGCAGAGTGTCCCAGTGGTCATCAGAGTGTCCCAGCGGTCAGCAGAGTGTCCCAGCGGTCAGCAGAGTGTCCCAGTGGTCAGCAGAGTGTCCCAGTGGTCAGCAGAGTGTCCCAATGGTCAGCAGAGGGTCCCAGTGGTCAGCAGAGGATCCCAGTGGTCAGCAGAGGATCCCAGTGGTCATCAGAGTGTCCCAGCGGTCAGCAGAGTGTCCCAGCGGTCAGCAGAGTGTCCCAGTGGTCAGCAGAGGGTCCCAGTGGT